CATCTTAAATGATGATGGGTGCATGGCGGTTGAGAACCGCCATCAAACTTTCCTTTTCATTAAGAAACTTATTTTATTATCATTATTATTATGATAAAATCTGAACTCCTTTTTTATCCATATCTCCCTTCTTTTTTACTTACTTTCTTTTTACTTTTTTTCTATTTTCCTTTTTTTATATACAAAATAATAATAATAATAATAATAATAATGATAATAATATACTCCAAAATAGAAGTTTCACATTTTATTTATTTTATTTTATTATGTGTGGACAAAATTGAGTGATTACAATTGGCTTGCCACTTTGCCAGTACTCAAGCTGTTCTCTTTCCTCTGCCCACTCCTCTTTCAATATTAAGATGGTTTGGTTTGAAATCCATCACTACCTGTTTTCTTGTAGCTTTTCCTTTTTCTTCTTAAATCATACTTTTCTAGCTACTATTAATTTTATTATCAAGTTATTCTTTTATTTAAGAAAATTCTAATTGTTCTGAGTTTAAAGTCATTGCTGCTTTTCTACCATCAGATTTAAAATGATCATCTTTTGAATGATGAACTGGATGTGTTAAATGATTAAAAATGTCATGATCTTAGCCAAACTTGCTTTGATAGTGATCTGGCTTGTTGAAGGATTGTCTTTAGTTAGAGGTGTTTATGTTTTTGCTTATCAGACTGTTCACATACGTTGTTTCAACCCACTTAGCAAATATTTTGCTAAGGAATTAACGTATTTTTCTTATATTTCATATCTTTCCCTTTCTGAAGAGATGTTTCACTATTATTGGATCAAGGGTTCAAGACACAGGAATGCTGCTTCTTCCATCCACTAGTATTCTTCTATGAAAAGAAAAAATAAACTAGTTTCACATTTTTTACTACCTCCTTTATAGTTGATAAAATTCTACAGTGTTTTTTTGTATCCAAATGATATATTTTAGCTCATCTAAGTTAATGTAAGATGTAAGGTTTTGGGTCCTTGCCAGATCCTTTGTGCTTTGATGCACTACACAGTTCAATAAATTAATTAGAGTCCGATCCTTCACAATTGCAGCTCTAGATGCCCGTGATCTTGACAAATTTCTTAAATCACTAGGAAGAGATCCCTCATGTGTTGATTTGGAGGTGAGTAAATTTAAGGTACCTCTTGTAGTTTTTTTTTTTAATTGAGTTACCTATTATTCATTGATTGTCATCATATGTCTGCTTTATCCCCTGCAGGCCAATCCTACAGTGGGGAAAGATCAACCCCCTGATCTAGCTGCACTAGTTCCATCTGGTTCAATAATTTTTCCTGATCAACCCGAAAACCAATCTTCTTCACAAGTTCCTAAGGAAGGAAACTGTGTTCCTGTGGATAGTAGGTTCAAGACAGTTTCAGGTAAAAATTCTATTATCGGCACTATTCAATCTGTTAATTGATGCGATTTCTTCCTGATTTGTTGCAAACTAGAAGAGAAAGACATCTGCTGATGGTAAAATTATTATTATTTCTCAATTTTCATAAAGAAATGAACTGATTACACTTGTAAAGTTGATGACATAGTCTTCGATTTTATTTTTCTTATTTTCTGTTTTTAATTTTTGTGGATTAAAAAGTTTCTAATCTCCCCTTTAGTTTTTTGTCCTTTATTCTTTTATTTCACTGAATATTTTCTTATCAATAAAAAAATCATTACAGGAGGAATACATTAAAATTGAATTTGATACTACGTGAAACTAGAGGGGTAGGAGGACCTACCATTTACCCCATGGTCCGTACTTCTGAGGCAGCAATTTGCAAATTTATCTAGTGTATTGGTTATTAATTTCATGCAAAGAAAAAATGTGTTCGCTTTTACTTTGGGTGAAGTTATTGTATACAACCTGCTGTGGCATTATGTAAGATTTGTATATTAGCGACTAGTGACTGCTACAATGTTCAGCATTACGTTGTGCAGGATTATATTTTTCACGCGATTACATAAGTTCAGGACGTGTGTTTATCAGTGTTGTGAGGGTAGCAGAAACCCTGTTTGTGGCTTAAAGATCCTAGTGATTAAATATGTAATGAAGTAAAAATCAAATGTTTCTGATGCAGCTAAAGTTGTCCAGCCATCAGTTGTTGGGAAAAATACAAAGGGGACTCCAGCCAAAAATGCTCATTCGACAGACTCCTTTTTAGATGTTGGGCAATTCGTTGAAAATATATTTGCAAAAAACTTCAGAGGTAAAACAAAAATGTATACTATCTTTCAATTTCAAACTTATCCTATAGTTCCTGCATCAGGCTGAATCTTGATCATACAGGGTACTGTGGTATCTGACAATCTACAGAAAAATCTCAGATCAGATTTAGAATCCCTTGCTGTAAGTATATGATGATGCCAGTAAATATTTTCCCTTTTGGAAAATCAAAGCCTCCATTATATGAAATTGTAGTTCTGATCACCAGATTATCTTTTATTGCAGATGATGTTTAGGAACACTGCATGTACAGAAGGGTTCCATGCTGGTACCCACCATCAGCCCAGGCGCTTGTGAAACTGACGATGATTTAAGATTTGCTGGCCGGAAAGTTAAAAGTGGGAACAAAATTTTAACTCTAGTTGTTCAATGTTTCGTGTGTGACAGCGCCATGTATTGTTTGAAATTTGTACATGAAAATGTTTGGAACTGAATACATGATTTGAAACAATTTGAACAATGAAAAAAAAAAAGGCATATGAAATTGGTCGTTTTAAAAGAGGGTAAATTATGCGTGAATAACTTCTGGATGGATGAGATAGTGGTAAATTTAAACTTGACAGAGCCTTAGTTTTTTTCTTTGACTAACCGTTGTGTTAATACCATTAAGCATTTTGAATGCCCTTGTAGATTAAAGGGAAAACATTATCTACTGTTGCAGAAAAAGAAATTTTCATTCCTGCTGATAGATCGAAATTTGTGCCATTTTGTTTGGTTTGCTTTTTTGAAAAAAAAAATGGTGGGACCATGGATTTATGTCTCTGCAGGAAAATGAGTTATCATCCGCAACAGAAGAAGACAAACGCCCTTAACTAGATTAAAACGCTAAATTATGTAACACCAACAGTTCTTCGTTCACATCTTTTTCGATTATTCGTGAATAGTATGTGAGTTTTATGTTTAGTATTGTTCCATAATGATTTCACCTCATTTTTTGAAAGATCTTTATGCTATTCTACTTGTCCTAGTGTAGCATATTGTGATTGAAGTTGCACAAATAAGCGTACTATATATTCCGGAAGCATAAGAGTAAGAGTGCTCTTTCATATATTAATTCTGAATCTAATTCAGTATCCTGAATTTAATTTATACAATGTGTTTGGGTTACGTAATCTCCAAACTGAGCTATATTCAAATGTCCCTTCTTTTTAATTAGACAGAATTTATAGACATAAATGTATGTTATGAATTTTCTTTTATTTTTGTATTATTTTTTTTGAAGTCTGACAAAATGTTTGCGTATTTTGATGGTCCGTCTCGATTGTTGTTGTTAATAACAAATAATATTAATAATATACACATTGATATAACATGGTAACTAATGATACTAAATATGCAATCACATCTTTTTCTGGCAACACTTACATTAACCAATTCTTACTGCATATAATTTGTTTTTAATTATCTTTATTTACATGTTAAGCAAACTAATAAATGCAACATTTATGGACTGAAAAATAAGTAGCCTTTACGAGTGCAAGTAACTGTATAACACGGATCGCCAACTTCGATGTAGGTAGTGATAGATTCGATTTTTACCTTGAAGGCCATTTTTCTTTTGTTTGAATAACAAGCCCACGTTACTCCTGCAAAACGCATTCCTGCCATACAAGTCTCCTTTAGAAACAGGCCTCTAACTAGGCCTTTGGAAAAAGAAAAAGAATTAAATGTGACAGAAATTGGCAAGGCTAACAAACAATGCTGGCATTAAAATGTAATATTATGATTATATGAACTTACTCGTGACCACCATATCTTGTCTACTGCGATCACTGACGAACAAGTTACAATCTTAATCAGGACTTGAACTTCTTCAAGCTGATATAAATCAGTGGAGAGATCAAAGAATGCAGCAAGGTTGCTGCCTTGGATTAGCTGCTGAAAATGAGTGCAAAGATGAATTTCAGTATATGGAGCAAATATTCAACCGACAATCTTTCGTGCATATGCAGTTCACATTCAATTTGGTAGCTTTTTCACTTTCTTTTCTTCTGAGGTTTGAGGATTTATTGGGAGATTTTTTAAAAGATTGATGTTGAATTTGGAGAGAACTAGTGAATAAAAAATGGTGAATTAAAACACGTAGCCGGTGACTCATGATACACGTGACTGAATTAAGTTTAGAGAATTTCCTAAACTTATCTTCCTATTGTTTTGCTTTTATGTTTGAATATCACCAGCCAGAAATATTCCAATCAATTAACTGTTCTTTGCCCATATATAGATTTTGTCCATATCAAACTTGAACCAATGGGACACGCCATAGCCACAATCTTAACGAAGAGATGCTACTAAAGAAAACACAAGGGAAGGGATTACGAAGAATTGGAAGGACAAAAAGAATATATAATAGTAGCAAGTTAGATTTACAAATTCTTACAAATTACACTATCTTTTTCCAAGAGAACACTAATTTCACTATGTTCTCCCAGAAAAAGATAATGTAATTTGTAAAAATTTATCAAAAAAATTTGTAAACAGGTCCTTCCTTCCCCTGTATAATAACTCAAGGACCGATTAGTTCCATGTGATATAATTGATCTAATAACAGGCACATCTCAACCTTGTCATCTGAAAATTGCGTCTTTCTCTTTTCATATATACATTAAATAAGTGAACTTATTTGTGACTATTTGTAAAGAAAGATTTTAATGAGATGTGAAATTTCAACTTCATTCCCACTATAGGTATATAATACCTTAAACCACACAACACCAGTAATTAATATAAAGTAAAGTGATGAATGTTGAATTATAATGAAGTAGTTAGTTGAATTAATTATCACCCCTTGAAGAATCAGCAGCAGCAACATTGCCTCTTCCACCTCCAGGATGAACCCGTCGATGATGATACCTTCCATGAAAGGGCCAAAGAGAAGCAAGGCGTGTCCACCTCAAGCACCTCCTGAACCTGCCTTCTCCACCCTCACTACTCTCTTCTTCTTCTTCATTATCGGACACCACCGGAACCTCTACCCGGCAAACGGGGCAAGAATTGTGAAGCCTAAGCCAAGGAACAATGCAATCAGAATGGTATATATGCTTGCATGGAAGTTCCCTTGCTTCGCCACCAACTTCAAATTCCTCTTGGCAAACAGGGCAATGAGAATTCTCCTTCAAATGCGTGCTCAATATTTTCACCGTGGGGATTGCGTTGATAGCACTTTCCGGCACCGGCGGCGGACCCTGCCGGTCATTCTCCGTCAACTGGTCTATGAGTTCGTTCAGACCTGGCCCGAAAAGGTAGTCTCTTGAATCGACACCGCGTGGGATAGGACTGACTCTCTCGCCAATTGGCTGAAGAATGATCCATGTACGAGGTAGAGGAGGTTGGATCCCAGGTTCTGGTTCTGGTTCTGGTTCGGAACCACGATGTCGGGGACGCCTCGTGCGAACCACGGGAGCATCTTCCGCGTCTGGTTCTGCTGTGTGGGGCCGCCGGTGAACCCAGCGTGGGCGTGGGCGTGGGCGTTGGGTTTCGTTTTCGCCTTCGTCGGCGAAGCGACGTCGGATGGGTGGGTCCAGCATGAGAGAAAGCGCTTCCAGCAAACGCGCTTCTGGGGAAGGATCGTGGGCGGTGAAATCCACGACGAGTCTTGGCCTTGGCATGTTTAACTCGCAGATGAATTGGCCAAAGCATCGCGGGCACGTGATCTCGGAGGGGTTATCGGGTGCGAACCGAACCATGCGATTGCACTGGAAGCACCAGTAGAGTTGGAAGTTCCTCCTGGGTTGGCCATTGCTTCTCTCTCTTGGAGGGCTTAATGACATTATTTTCAATGTGTTAATTAAGTTGATTATTATGGGTTTAGGATTTGCGTATGGAATTGATGAAGGCAGAAGCATATTTATATATATATATATATATATATGTGTGTGTGATGGAGATAGAGAGCAAAGGATGACTTATGGGTTTGCATAAAGTGATTCTTTTTAGAGGGGGGGGTTGGTTATAACATAGGTTTTGAGGCTTCACACTGTTCCTTCCGGGGGTAGGAAAAGGATGAGTGTTTGGGGCACATTGCCTGCTGCTAAATTCTCATGGTTTGTTTTGAGATTTTTGGAGTGTTAACAGCTTACTTCTATGTGAAGAAGGAGAAACTTCAAAATGAGAATTCTTTTGCTTTCTATATCAGTCCATCCATGCCATAGGTCCTAACACTTGATATCTATTCCAATAGTAGTATCTATAGACTATACTATTGGTAACAAAACATAACATGTATCATCTCTTGTCTTGGAAAGCATGTACTCCATGCATAAGAATCGAGGCCTTGTGGATTTTAATTCTTTCATTTCCATTTGCTTCTTGATTGTTAAGTGTTTTTTGAGTTTTTTTCCTCTCGCAAAATTAAAAGTAGTATTGTATTTTTTAAGAAAGAATTGCAACTCATCAAGTACAAAGAAAAGGGAACGGGTGGAAAGGAAACAACAACTTTAAGAAAGAAATGACCGTTAGAGCAATAGATTAGTAAACACACAGAAAAGTGAAAAGCCAGATTATTTATATGATATTGTTATATCATCAAATTTCCTTATCCTTCCTTTTTTATTAAGCAAACTTTGTTAGGTTGCAACTGGGGGTTTGCTTTTTTATGGGGCCAAGTATGTCTAATATTATCCATACCACATGAGGACAAGAACAAATCCACTTAAGACACTCAGGTGGACCAGGATGGGCCTTTCCTCGAACTCATTGTTCAAAAATAAAGTGAAACCTTTTGGAAATGGAGTTTCGTTCTATCTTTACACTGGCCCATTGCTCTTGGTGGGCAACTATGTGCATGTGCTGTTATGTTAATAGAGTTATTCAACCCAAATTCGGGAACACAATGATGACTGATCCAAGGCAGCAAAATGAAGGTCATCGATACATCTTATTCTCTCCCACGATACAAGTGCTAAAGGTTAGTGCGCATATTTTGAGTTGGAACATCCGAACATGTGAACAAATTACTACATACAGAATTACAGACGATGAGAGACCTTCCTTTTATGTTAGAATGTATATGTCTGGCCACCTTTTTCACGGTGAAAAAAATGAATCTATTGAATTAGGGCAACTTCATATTTTGGGAGTAGTCATGGTTTTGTCATAGTTTGTAAATCATCAAATTGTAGCATACACAATTATAACTTCCGGTTAACAATTTATTCATTTATACGTTATGTTGTATGCTACCATTTCACATTCCTTGCAAGAACGATTAAGGAATTATAATAAAGAACTATACCCTGAGTACATTTCACCTTTGATCCTCTTTATAAATCTGAATTAATTCTTATAATTAATTAACTCATTAGTTCAGACAATTCATCTATTTCAAATCAATTAGTTAAATCCTAATGTCTTAGTGTATTTAACATTTTAACTCAATTAGAACCCTATTCATCCATCCAACGGTTATAGTTTAGGAAGTTATATTAATTAATTAATTATACTATAAATGACAACTGTTGATTTCCATCGACATTGTACTAAAACTAAAGTAGATGTCTATATATAAAATATATTTCTATAATAATATCGAATCTAACTGTCGATATGGAAAGTAAGACTCAAAAGTCTTACTCTGGAGTTAAAAGAACTTTTCCCATATATATATATATATATATATATGAGAGAGAGAAAGAGAGGGGTAACATTTACTTATTTAGAGCCTGTTTGGATCCTCTTATTTTTAAGCTAGAAGCTACTTATAAGCTAAAGCTAAAAACAAAGCTTAAAAAAAGAAGCTAAAAGCTGTTTGGAAATTACATAAAAATTTTAGCTTAAAAATTAGTTAAAAGTACATATTTCAAGAAAATTATTTCTCTCTCTATCTTTATCACTCTTCATTTTAAAAAAAAGCACACAATTCAAGAAAAACAGATAAGAGCTTAAAAAAAAGCTCCTCCTAGGAGCTTTTAATTTTTCAATTTTTTTCTTTATTATAAAAAAAGAGCTTTTCGTTATAAGAGCTTTTTTCAAAACCTGTTTGGCCTAACTTATGCTTATAAGTAGCTTCTAGCTTAAAAATAAGATGATCCAAACAGACACTTAGAATATAAGAAAATTTCTAGTCTCTTTCTATGAATTGGGCCGGTCGCGGCTGCCTCAATTACCTTCTCTCTTAAGAAAAGGAAATTCCAAAGCACCATTTCGACTTCACCGACCATGTCTACATAATTTGATCCGAAGACAAACTTCTTTAATGAACGTACGAATTATATATGAAAGTAAGTCATCAATGTTGATGGTTGTCATTCTTTTCAATATAAGCCACAAGGCTTGAATAAGTCAAAAGCTCAAGCCATCATCAAGAGAGTGCTAACAGAACCAAATGACATTGTGTATTCCATGTATATTTACACCCACTAATACTACAGACACATATGTAAATGGAGTTTGATTCTGTTACATCAGAATTGAATTCTCATATTATGATGTGATTCAACTAGTGATGGACTTCATATTTATTAAAAAAAAAAAGAATAATTTTGCACTCAAGTTGAAGGGTTACAACATGAGAAAATATTTTTCTTATATATATATATATGGATTTTATTTTCTTATGCAATAGGAGATAAGATATATCAAGTTGTACTCACAAACTTATATGGGTCCTACTATACAAGAAAAGAGAAAAAAAAAATTAAGTGGCTCGCATATCTTTTTGAGTGTCTAGGAGAGACTTGTTGTCTCCTATCATATGAGGCTAATGTTTCCTATATATATATATATAGAGGTTTAAGATGATTTGACATCGATATAACTTATACTCTTAATATTCTTGATAGTTGATCCTATTTATACTTAACGGCTTTGATTTATTAGATATTTGATTTGTTAGATACATCTTACAAGCAAATCAATAATCAAAATTTTGGTATAAGGCTTTTTATTCTTATACCGGTGTAAGAATGTCTTATCTATATATATATATATATATATATATATATATATATATATATATATATTTGGTGTAAGACTTCGAAGTCTTACTCTTCATCTAGCCATTAATTTCTCCCGTTAACGGTTGTCATTTATTTGAAATTAATAATTAGTAATTGATATACCTTAATAAATTTAATGAAAATCAAAGGTTGAAATGAAGAGTAAGCCTTCAAGTTTTACAGCTGAGTCAAAAGATTTGTTCCATATATAAGATAAAAAACAGATAAGATAAAACAAATAAAAATAAACTAAACTAACACAAATCTCTTAATTGGAATAGAAGATAAGATAAAAGATATGCCCTACTCTTAATTACCTCACATCAACAATAACGATTTTCTTTAATTCATGTCTTTTAACTCTATTGAACATAAATTAACAAAAATTACTCTATCACATTGATCGAGTTTTATGTGAGGATAGCTAAAATTACTAATGTATTTTGAGGATGAATCGTCAGCTGATTTTGAATTGTGCTTTCAATGATGGTGCACGCATCTAATGAACAGTCATAAAAAGAAGAGGAAGTGGCAAAAGAAACTGAGTTAAATAATAAACAGTGGATGTATCCGTTTTCCCCAGTAATATGCAAGTGTAAATGAGGTGGTGCAATGCAATGATATGATTTACGAGTGATGAAACCATTTTTTTATGGTCAAATTAAGTTATCTTTTCAGAATGTTGTTGGTAATTTAATTGCGAACTACATCAACTAAACCTATGATAACATTTAGAAACAAGATATTTGTTGTGCTCTTGAGTCTTGGGAGTAACCTAAGTTTTTTATATGTATCATTCAATGTTTACTACTTCAATTATAAAATAAAAAATTATAGTTAAAGTAAAATAATATTTTATAGGAAAAAATGTTTGTCTTCTTAAATAATACAACTTGTGTTATTTCACTCTCACAAAGAAGTGAGACTCACACATTTATTTTTTTTGTCCACTCTCTCTTCAATGATTTTTTTTTTTTTTCTCATTTAAAATGATATAACTTTACCTCCTTTAAAATGATATATGATAATAGTCAGTCAAATAGCTGAAATAACATATATTAAATGATTGTATCCAAAAAAAAAAAAAAAACATATATTAAATGATGATACAATTATAAATTTCTTTTTCTTTAGGAGTACGTAAAAATCTTTGTTGACATAAACACAGATAACATGATGTCCGTGAGAAAGTCAAGAAAGACGATCGGATTAGGTGAATTGACCTGACCCACTCTCACAGCCCACAATTGGTTCATACTCTCACCACATTGATTACTGTGATTTGTCACTGTTACTAAGAAAAGGACTTAAAAATTGTATTAAGAGAAATGGTCCACAGCATCAGGTTTTAAGGTTTTTTGAGTTCACATCTTTTTTTGTGACCCGCCCAGCTACTTTGAATTAAGGACAAGGCTTTTTTCTTTTTCTGTTTCAAAGGTTCAAACGTCACTATGTAATACTTTTTATAGTTGCCTATTATTAAAATCTCCATTAATTAGCACTAGCAGGTCAAAGCAGACAGCTTCCCGGTTTCAAGAGAACACATCCATACATGGTTGTATATACTTCTTTGTCATTTATTTATCTATTAATTAATGACTATTTTTGGGTTAGGGAAAATTTATCTATCATTTCGTTAACATTGAAAGCTAAGCCACACCTAAATCATGCTATGGAATTTGAGTTGAGTTGAGTTGAGTTGAATATGTTGTCTCTTTTTTTTTTTTGTCCATTTTTCCGTTTTGAGCCGGAATATCAGAAGAGAATGTTATTTCCGTTTTGGAGTATAGGGACTCAACAATTCAAAATAAAAGCCTACCTACCCGTTAATTTTA